AGAGTAAACTTTGCAGTCAAGGGGAGCTATGCAATGTGTTACTAAAGCCTCAGGACAACATTGAATTGAAGAACAGCAATAAAACTGCTGTTCCTTTGCTTTGGGTTTTGTGTATTGGGATTTTGTGTCATGTCTTATTATGTGTCATGTCTTGTAATGTGTCATGTCTTATTATGTGTCATGCCTTGTTATGTGTCGTGTCATGTCTTATTATGTGTCATGTCTTATTATGTGTCATGTCGTGTTATGTGTCATGTCTTATTATGTGTCATGTATTATTATGTGTCATGTCTTGTTATGTGTCATGTCTAATAGTATGTAAAAAAACAAACTTAGACCTATCATCTTCCATTTTGTTCCCATCCTTCTGTTTTATGATAAGAATTTTATTCACCAGATTAGGACCCACAGGACAGAGCATATAGAACATAAACAATATGATTGAAGGAACATTTGCAGAACAATAATATATTCTATCTAGACATAAAAAAAGCATGTATTGTAAGTTCAGAAATTATTGCGATGCTTTTATTAATGCGAAAAATGCAGCAGCATCCGAGTTTCACAATTATAATAACTTGCATTCATAATTTCAGTAGGGATTTATCATCATAATATTTTTGCAATTGCATTAATTAGATTTTGTCGAAGATCAATTATTTGCAGTTATAAATGCACATCAATTTCAGAATTTACAGTAATATAATTGAAAAAAAAAACCAAAAAAAAAACCAGCAACATATACATCATTCAGTTTTTCAAATGTTTTGAGATTGAGTCTTCCTGATGAAGATCGATCCAGAGTAGCACTTAATTGATCTGCACCAAAAAGTTGGTGGCGAAGTGGTCAAAGTAGTTTAACTACTATATCACTAGCCTGTCAACACTGAGGTTGTTGTAAGTTCAAAACCTGCAGGTGTGTTTGACTCCAATCTTAATTGACTAATATGGTCAGTTTTTCTGCCTAAGGTTGGTGGTTTTCATGGTGCACATCAGCTTCCTGACCACCAATACAAACTGGTAACCAAGAAATAGCCTATTAATGATTCTAAACACCAATAAATAGACCAATCAATCAATTTTTCATTTTTTTTTTCTTCTTAAAAACTTCAATGAACAGCAATTTAAACACCAAACATCTTTCAGTTATTTGTTTTACGAGACGTCCTGTTAATTCTGCTCTTTGAGAAATAGTAAGCTTATAGATGGGTAATAAAAAAACCAAAACAGTCCAGTATAAACTACTTACGGTGACCTATAGTTGTTAACTTCTATGTCATTTGTTGTCTGGTGGAGAGAAAATGATAATGTCTCATTGAAAAAATTATACCACATCTTTTTATTTTTATACTTATTTTCTCATGTTAGAATAAACACAAAAGGTGGTTGAAAAAACATTTCACTCTATGTCTGTATTGCCTAAAGGTCAGAATTCTCTAAATACTTATTTCCTCATGTTAAAATAACAGAAAAGGTGGTTGAAAAAACATTTCATTCCATGCCTGTCTTGTAAAAAGGTCAGAAATTACTTCAATGATAGATTTCGAGTGTTGAAACATTTGTAAAAAGTCAAGAATTGCAAATAAACCAAAATATTTAGTTACAAGTTAACATAGAAAGATGTTGACCTTATCAGGTGACCTGTCAACACTTTGATATACATCACCTGTATCTTTCACCTTCTGTAACCTTTCAAAAAAATTACCAGATAAAACTTATCCTCAAATCTGAAGTTATCTGATTAGGGTATATACCTATATGTGGATGCCTATTCTGGATTGGAGATGTATGAAAGTAAAAACTTTCCTTCAAACCTTGTTTTTTTATCAGTGCAAAATTATAGTGTTTCTAAGATATATGTGCAAAAATTTGTTAAAACAGCTACTTCATTATAGTGACAACCGATTGCAGGGGGCAGATCCAGAAATTTTTTAATTGGGGGTGAGGGCGTAATTTCATAAAATGAATTAAATATAGCAAAATTTTGGATGATTTCATCCTAAAAAAATGATATAAATCGTGGAAAAAATGATATAATACTTTTTGGCAATCAAGGGTGAAAGGGGGGTTACATCCTGTACACCCCCTGGATCCGCCACTGGATTCTTGTGACTGACAATGTAATATTGTAAACATAAACCTTGTTTTGGAATACCTCAGATGATTGTCAGTGACCAGACTAGGACCCATTAAAACTTTGTGGAGAATTGATCAATAAATCAACCAAAGATTTCATCAGTATGCCAGTCAAAACTGTTATCAAAAGGGAACAAGAGTGTCTTCTAATAGGTTCTCTTTGATTGATGTGCAAGTGGTGTCTTCTCATAGATTCTCTTTGATTGATGTGCAAGTTGTGTCCTCTTGGAGATTTTCTTTTTGATTGATCAGCTGATTTTTGTTGACATAGACTGCACTGAAACATAGATATGTCAATATCAATTGCTTAAACGTCAGTTTCATTTCCTGAAATATACATGCTTCAGGAAATTTGTAAGATATTTTTGTCTAGGGTTAAATGTCCAAATCAATACAAGGTATTTTGGGTCCATTTAAAGTAGAAATTTATCAACAAAACATGACTTTTACATTATTTTTACACAAATCAGAGAAATTTATGGACTTTTCCTAATGACATTGACATTTTAAATGCAAGTTAATTTGGAAAGAAATTGGTTAGCAGTTACCAATATTTGTAGAAATTGCACTTTGGGGGATTTCCGTACAATTTTTTTTTTTTTAGCAAATTAGAAAGATAGAATTTGATTAGATAGAAATAAATAGTGAAAGTTCTGTCTTTTTTCTGTTTTATACAGTTTTATAAAGTTCAGTCTGTTTTCTCAAATTCAGAGTTTTATATATCATGTATGTTTGTTAAAGCCATTGGCCCATATAGGCGTAAAGCGCTTTTTCATTAAAGAATAAAATTAAGATAAAAAATTTAGAAGAAAAAACAATTCGTTAAAAAAGACTCAGAGTTAAATTTTGACAAAAAAAATCATCATTGTAAAGAAAAAGATCAGTAATAAAAGAGAGTTGAAAGATCCAAAAGTGACATTCAAACTCATAAGTCGAAAATAAACTGACAACGCCATGGCAAAAAACAAAAAAAGATCAAAAGACAAACAACAGTATACAAAACACAACGTAGAAAACTAAAGGCTGAGCAAAAATCGAGGGTGATCCCTGAGGTGCTGCAGAAGAAAATAGACAATTATGCTGTTTATGATAAGTAAAATAGGGTAAAACTCATTTTATGCTAACTAAATGCTATCCAGTGATCTGTAGTTCTTAACTCTTTGGTCAGTCACTAACAAAATGTTTTAAAAAACATTACTTCATTGTTTTTTGTACACACTGAGGTATAAATATTTTTATATACCTATAGGGAGTTATTTCAGAATGTTAGGTCATTCTAACCTGGACGATTAATAAGTTTCAATGAAAATTCTTCTTTGGGTGTCAGGATTGCCCACAGGAAGTCCTCCTTACAGTGGTCGGTCTTTCATTTGAACAATTTTGACACCCCTCAGCATGTTTTACAACAAGAAAAAATATGCATTTATCTTTTATGTAACTATTAGCAAAGTCTGAACTGAATTGTACTGAGACATTAGTTAATGTTTATCTAGTTATACCTATTTGTATCCACATGGTATAGATTTTATCTCATTACATAAAGCATCATCAGTAATGTCTTCAATTGTAACTCTGTTGAAAAATGTATATACAGATTTACATGTTTTTAGCATTACAGAAGATGTGACAAAACCTCAAATTAACAAGCTGCTGTAATTAAGTCAGAATTAAGAATCACATCAAACAGATGTGGATGGCTATTAACTTCCATCTTTAGATTTTACACATGATGGTTCTACAGTTTATGATGTCTTCTCACATAATAGTAAAATTAATGGTATGGTTTTTGTAGAACTGACTGACCTTTTGTGACAGGACTTTCATGTTCTCACTAATATTGGTGGATTTTGTTGTCTGTAACATTAGATTTTACAATCACACACCCCCCCTTCCCAGCCATGGTTCTCCCCTTATTACATGTTTGGTCAGCAATATCAATATCTTTAATGTACAGAGTGTTTGACCAGTTGTGGTAGGTAATTGACTTCAAGGCTCCTGCTTTAGTCTTCAAGTTTATTGTAAGTGTGTGGTGCTATCAATTTCAAAATAAAAATGTTTTTTCCAGGTTCTTTTGAAATGAGTGCTGTTACAAGTATGTGTAGTCATACATATAGACTAAGGAAGGGGATGACACACTATGAGATGATAGATAATTAGAGGGTAAAAAAATAGGATCTGGGAAAAAGAAAGGGGGAAAAGTGGGGTAAAAAAAACTGAAATAGCAGGATTTGGTAATGAGCATCCCTGTGTTAAACCACCCCACCCACCCCCCTTTTTCCACTAAGGTAATTTACTTCCTGGCGACTAACTGCCAGTTTTGCTGTTGATGTGTGTACTGTTGTGTCACAGGAAGTTGTGGAAGTATTTATGCTATTATTTGGTAGTTTTGACTTCAAGCCTCTTTCAGTTATACTTGTAGACTTAAGTTTTCATACTGACAATTGTATGAAATAATAAAATTATATTATAAAGCTGATTTTCAATTTTACCATTGAAAGGTTTAAAATTACAGCTTTTCAATGTTTGTATAAGGTTTTTGATTACAAATATTTTGGCCTCTAATATCACTGAAGAGATATTAGTTGTTGTAAATAGCATGTAGTGAATTACTATAATACTTGATTGACAGTTAAACTGGTACCCTTTAATGTCTTGATTGACAGTTAAACTGGTACTGTCTTGATTTACATATTGAGGTTAAGATCTCACCATTGGGTTTAAAGTACTACTGTCAATCAAATTAAATTGCAGCTTTATAGTAATGAGGCATTCATCAGATGTCATAACTGTTTCATATAATTCTTAATCTATTTGTGCATTATACTTCCAATTGTATTAAAAGTATGATTTATTTGTTATTGCAGGTTGAAAATATCAACACTTGTCTTACATTCCTGGCCAATCTTGGTGTAAGTGTAGAAGGACTCTCAGCTAAAGGTTTGTATGTTAGGGAAAAAAAGGGGGAAATAATTTATCATTAACCTTATTACAATATGTTTTACTTCTTACCAGTAATGTTAAAACTAAGCTAGTATTATTAACACATGCAGTATTACTAGCAATATTTTAAGACAAATAATTATGGTCAAGAGATTTTTAAAGTTTTCCTCATCTATTGATTGATTGATTGTTGGTTGCTTAACGTCCAGTGGCTTTCTTCATCGAAAATCATTGACTAAATTGCAGCTGAGTGAATATAATTTAACATCAATATTTAGAATTTAGCACAGTTAGCTTTGGTTTGAAGATCTGCATTTTTAACAAAAGTGACATTGAGTTTTATATAAAGATATGGGTAAGTGCCTTGAATTTCTGCCTAAATATGTACTTATAAAAATCAGAAGATGTGGTATGATTGCCAATGAGGAACCGAATGATGTAGAAGGTAAGCCATTAAAGGTCATCCTAAGAACTTCATCAATGAACAAGTCCCATTCCGCATAGCAAGCTATTCATATATATATTTTTCAGATAAAAAAAGATGGAAACTTCAAGCTATATTCATTAGTACAAGAATAAGAAAATGAGACAACTGTATCCATAAAACCAAAGGATGTAATTAATTAAAGGTCACTGTATGGTCTTGAACAATGAGCAAGCCCATCTAATAGCATCTAAGGTTCCAAATGAAAATATATGTGTGGTTCCAGTTACATCCTGAAAAAAAATAGGGTCTGTAGGTCAGAATTTTTTTTTTTTTTTTTTGGATTGTCAAAAAACAGGAGAAAAAAATTGTGTGTCCAATTCTGAAATTTATACATCCCTACCGAAAATTCACCATTTTCTATAATCAGTAAAATAACAAAAATACCGAACTCCAAGGAAAATTCAAAACTATATGTTTGGTTGTAAAAATAACGTGTTATGGTTTTAGTTAATTTTGTTGAATTTTTAGCCGTAGTGGATACGTCTAATGGAAATTCAGATGACAGAAGTCTGTGAATTTAAATTATTGAAATTCACATTCCACAAAATAGGATCTTTCAAAATTCATTTTTATACGACCGCAAAAAAATTTTGTGGTCGTATATTGGTATGACGTTGGCGTCGTCGTCGTCGTCGTCGTCGTCGTCGTCCGGCGTCGTCGTCCGAATACATATTGGTTTTCGCACTCTAACTTTAGTTTAAGTGAATGGATCTTTTTGAAATTTTACCATAAGGTTAAATACCACAAAAGGAAGGTTGGGATTGATTTTGGGGGTTATGGTACCAACAGTTAAGGAATTAGGGGCCAAAAAGGGGCCAAAAATGAGCATTTTCTAGTTTCCAGACAATAACTGTGGAACGGTGTATGGATCTCTCTGAAATTATACTACAAGTTTCCATACCACAAAGGGATGGTTAGGATTTGCTTTGGGGGGTTATGGCTCAAACCGTTTAGGAATTAGGGGCAAAAAAGGGGGAAAAACAAGGTTGTCCTGGTTAATGGACAAATACTTTAGTACAAAACATAATTTAAAGCAGTGTAAGGGAGATAAATCAAATACATCATTGAAATTATCTCCCTTACACTGCTTTTAAATTATGTATAAAGTAATGGTTAATGAACAATAAAGATAATCTAAAATAGTGTAAGGGAGGTAATCCAAATACAACGTTTTGGTTACTTCCCTTACACTGCTTTTAAATTATGTTTAAAGAAATGCATATTTATAAAGGAAGACCAGTAAAAATATCTGCAAATGTTTTCATCTTTTTTTTTTACAAAAAAATCCATATGAAAGATTTGACACTATATTTTTATTAATTCTATTATAAATTAGATTAAGTTAGCACTATGGTAAATTTAAATGGGTAATTATGGTTGCCAACTCCATTGGAAATTTGAATTGAGATTATGACCATATCTTGAGGGAAAGAATTTTTTTGGGGGAAAAAGAGGGGGGGGGGATAAAAAGAAATTGTGGGGGGCCAATTTTTTCTCATTTCAGATTTCAGAAATTAAAAAGAATTATTCTTCAAATATTTTTTTTTTTTTCAAATTTCAAATATTGAAAAATTTCAAGAAGTAATCTTTAATTGCACAGTATGGCGCATTAGATTTGTAAAATCTTTGATCACATTTATTTATTTGTTATGCCGAATCTAACAGTGTATTTAGATTTTTAATTTTGGGTCCAGTTTTCAAATTGGTCTACATTAATGTCCAAAGGGTCCAAAATTAAACTTTGTTTGATTTTAGCAAAAATTGAATATATGAGGTTCTTTGATATGCTGAATCTAAACATGTATTTAGATTTTTGATTTTTGGCCCAGTTTTCAAGTTGGTCCAAATTGGGGTCCAAAATTAAACTTTGTTTGATTTCAACAAAAATTGAATATATGGGGTTCTTTGATATGCTGAATCTAACCATGTATTTAGATTTTTTATTTGTGGACCCCGTTATCTAATTGGTTCATATTGAGGTCAAAAGGGTCCAAAATTAAACTTTGTTTGATTTCATCTAAAATTGAATTATTGGGGTTCTTTGATATTCCAAATCTAACTGTGTATTTAGGTTTTTAATTTTGGGTCCTGTTTTTTAAATTGGTCTACATTGAGGTCCAAAGGGTCCAAAATTAAACTTAGTTTGATTTTAACAAAAATTGAATTCTTGGGGTTCTTTGATTTGCTGAATCTAAACATGTGTTTAGATTTTTGATTATGGGCCCAGTTTTCAAGTTGGTCCAAGATAGGGTCCAGTATTTAAACTTTGTTTGATTTCAACAAAAATTGAATAAATGGGGTTCTTTGATATGCTGAATCTAAACATGTATTTAGATTTTTGATTATGGGCCCAGTTTTCAAGTTGGTCCAAATTGGGGTCCAAAATTAAACTTTGTTTGATTTCAACAAAAATTGAATATATGAGGTTCTTTGATATGCTGAATCTAACCATGTATTTAGATTTTTTATTTGTGGGCCCTGCTATCAAATTGGTTCATATTGAGGTCAAAAGGGTCCAAAATTAAACTTTGTTTGATTTCATCAAAAATTGAATTATTGGGGTTCTTTGATATTCCAAATCTAACCGTGTATTTAGATTTTTAATTTTAAGTCCCGTTTTTTAAATTGGTCTTCATTGAGGTCCAAAGGGTCCAAAATTAAACTTAGTTTGATTTTAACAAAAATTGAATTCTTGGGGTTCTTTGATATGCTGAATCTAAACATGTGTTTAGATTTTTGATTATGGGCCCAGTTTTCAAGTTGGTCCAAGTTGGGGTCCAAAATTAAACTTTTTTTGATTTCAACAAAAATTGAATATATGGGGTTCTTTGATATGCTGAATCTAACCATGAATTTAGAATTTTTATTTGTGGGCCCCGCTATCAAATTGGTTCATATTGAGGTCAAAAGGGTCCAAAATTAAACTTTGTTTGATTTCATCAAAAATTGAATTATTGGGGTTCTTTGATATTCCAAATCTAACCGTGTATTTAGATTTTTAATTTTAAGTCCCGTTTTTTAAATTGGTCTACATTAAGGTCCAAAGGGTCCAAAATTAAACTTAGTTTGATTTTAGCAAAAATTGAATTCTTGGGGTTCTTTGATATGCTGAATCTAAACATGTGTTTAGATTTTTGATTATGGGCCCAGTTTTCAAGTTTGTCCAAGTTGGGGTCCAAAATTAAACTTTGTTTGATTTTAACAAAAATTGAATATATGGGGTTCTTTGATATGCTGAATCTAACCATGTATTTTGATTTTGGACATTGGACCATAATAGGTAAATTAAAAAAATTCAAGTTCTTAGACCACATTCTTTCTGTGTCAGAAACCTATGCTGTGTCAAATATTTAATAACAATCCAAATTCAGAGCTGTATCAAGCTTGAATGTTGTGTCCATACTTGCCCCAACTGTTCAGGGTTCGACCTCTGCGGTCGTATCAAGCTGCGCCCCAGCGAAGCATTTTATTCAGAAATGGAAAAAAAGAGTACTAGGGTAGGTCAGGTAACTGGAACCACACATATGTTTTTATTCCCCCGCCATAGCAGAGGGGCATTAAATTTTACCCTTCTCCGTCCGTCTTTACATCTGTACGACCCAAAATTGGTTTCCATTCTCTAACTTTAGTTCACCTCAACCAAATGTTAGGAAACTTATACACAATGCTTATTACCTCAAACACAGACCAAGTTTGAATTTGGGTGGTGTCACCTTTACCGTTCTAGAGTTATGCCCCTTTACAATAGAAAATTGCTGAATTTTTTGTTTCCGTTCTCTAACTTAAGTTTGCCTTAACCAAATGTTATGAATCTTATACACAATGCTCATTACCACAAAACTCAGATCAAATACGAATTTTTGTAGCGTCACTTTTACGGTTCTTGAGTTATGTCTCTTTATAATGTTATATGCAAGTGGGGGCATCATCTGTGTCCCATGGACACATTCCCCATTTATCTTATTTAGCCTTACCTATAAAAAGCCCTGGTGTGACAAAATGTGAAACAATTCAAAAGAAAATATCATGTTTTTCAGTCTGTTTGTACATATTACTATTTTTCAGATATAAAAGATGGGAATCTTAAAGCTATATTAGGCCTGTTCTTTAGTTTGTCACGATTCAAACAACAGCAGAAGACACAGCAGAAACAGGAACACAATAAATGTCATTCAGGGGAGACAACTCACCAGTCAAGTGGCAGCAGCAAAAACCAGCTCAGTAGTAGTGATTCACAATCAAGGTTTATATCATATTATATTATTATATATTATTATTATCAATCTGTTAATCGTCACCTGTTAGGATCTTGACTTTTTTATGTTATTTCAAGAATTTGTTTTTCATGCGAGATTTTTGTTATGCCCCTGCCATGGCGGAGGGGGCATTAAGTTTTACCCTTGTCCGTCTGTACGTCCGTACGTACGTCCCAAAATTGGTTAACATTCTCTAACTTTAGTTTGCCTCAACCAAATGTTATGAAACTTATACACTATGTGTATTACCACAATACACAGATCAAGTCTGAATTTTGGTGGCATCACTTTTACCGTTCTAGAGTTATGCCTCTTTACAAATGGAAAAATTGCTGAATTTTTTGTTTCCGTTCTCTAACTTAAGTTTGCCTCAATTAAATGTTATGAAACATATACACAATGATTATTACCACAAAACTTAGTTCACAGTGGCGTAGCTAGACTTTTATTGAACTGCACGCAGAAGTTGCTGAGCGTAGCTAGGCAAAAAATTTTGCTGAGAGGAGCGAGGCGAAAAAAGTTTGGACCCTTTTTTACAGAAAATGAATCTTTTTTCGATCTAAGATGGTTAAATTTGAAGTGAAGTATGCACAGTTGAGTGTTTTGCTATACTAGTATATCAAATCAAAGACCTAAAACTGACTAAAAAATTCTAAAAACTTTGCAATGCTCGCCAATTTATTATGCTTCAAAGAAAGAAAGGGCTAGAGAACTGGATCCTCTCATGACATATATGTTAACATACGAAAACAAAGCAATTCAAACAATCAATTTTTAATTTGGTGATATATGAATGTGACGTTCGTATGTAAGACCGTATGTAAGACTGAAGTTAACAACCGAGGTCCTTTAGGAGAGTAACATTTTCATTTGCCTAGCATTGTTAAACGTGTCAATAACTTCTTTAGTGTCAATGTCAAAATCAGAATAAACGTGCAGCAGTGCAAGTAAAGAAAGTCTTTCTTGTCCCATGGTCGATCTCAGATACGTTTTTACGCATTTTAGAGCGCTGAAAGAGTGTTCAGCAGTAGAGGTTGAGGGTGGAATGGTGAGAAGTATTTGCAGAATACAGAATATATTTGGGCAAAGTTCTTTCGGCATCATCTTCAATGTTGCACAGAGATGGTCTGGTTTCTTAGATGGATAAATATCCCATCGCGCAACCCACCTTTTAATTTTGAGAAGAAACTGATCTTCTGACTGAAGATCAGACTCGTAGGCGCGAAATATGCAAATTTGATGGTCCCGATTCAAACTTTTCCGATTGTTTGGAAGAAGCATCTGGGCAAGAAAACGTTCTTCCGAATAGACAAGACGATCTCGTTGTTCGTTTTAAATTAGTAGATAGTCTAAAAATTGTATATACCGATGTACGCACAACAAAACTGAACTGATAGAAAACACGGAAACCTTTCTGACAAGTTGAAACACCTATATATACAAAGTGACAGTCAATCGCACTCTTTCTTTTTTTGACTGCTATGATTTTTTAATTATGATTTTTTTTGGGGCCATTTCGTTTGTGCACGCTAGTGCGTCGTTGCGTCAATGGTAGCTACGCCACTGGTTCAAGTACAAATTTGGGTAGTGTCACGTTTACAGTTCTTGAGTTATGTCCCTTTTTAACGTTATATGCAAGAGGGGGCTTCATCTGTGTCCCATGGACACATTCCCCATTTATTTGTCTCAATCAAGGTTTATATCAGTCTGTCATGTGTCTGTACCATGTTAGGACCATCTTTTTCTTTCATATTTCTTTAAAAGAATTTATCCCAAAAATGTATCTTCTCCTTTCTCCTATATTTAATGTAACTAAAGCTTCTATTTTGATCTCTCTAAATTCACATGGCATAACTTATCTTTTACTAGACCATCTCTTCGCCAATAAAAATGGATTACCTTTCAAACTACCAGTACATGAATTTATAAAAAGTCTTTTTTCTATTTTATCCTATTTTGTTTGCCATTTGTTGTTCTTATTAGAATTATTAATATTTGTCATAGCACAATTCCTTGGATTTTATTTAGAATAGAAACAGCACATTTGTGAGTTTATCAAGCTTGAGATTGAATTGTTTAAATTAGTCATTTTTTGTGCTAAAACCATTTAGCTGTTAACTATGCCCATTAAAGTAAGAGACATCACTATAATTGAATAACATCCCTCCTGAGGATTTCTTGTAGATTTATATTCATATAAAAATTTGATTATTGTCCTCAGCAGACGTTTTGAATATATTTTTTGTGTCTTGTACATCATGAATAAATTTAATTTACTGCATCTGACAGTAGCATGATAACTTCCTGTAATGGAAAAAGTTTCATTTGATTTTATGATTGAGAAAATGTGTCGATCATTCATTTGGATTGCCAGACATGCCATTCGTCTACCAAATAAAGATATTTTGTTAATTTTAGCATTTTACATCATTTAAAAAGATTGTGGTTAAAACTTAAATAATAAAAGTGACCTTGAAGTGAACTTTGATTTCACTGAACATTATAAAAACAAAGACTGCAAGAGGATGTTCAAAAGTTATAAGTCAAAGATACCAAGAGGAAGTTTAAAAATTATATAAGTCAAAGATACCAATAGAATGTTCAAAAACTATAAGTCAAAAATACCAAGAGGATGTTCAAAAAATTATAAGTCAAAGATACCAAGAGGATGTTCAAAAATAAATTATAAGTCAAAGATAAACTTGCAATGGCAAAAAGAATAAGACTAGATACCAACAAGTCCACAAAACACTATTTAAACTCAAGACTTAGCAACATGAACCCCACAAAAAACTGGGGGTGCTTTTGAGGTGTAAACACCTTATCCTACATCTGAGGAGTTGTTCCATTGGCTGTTCAACATGTTGTAAATAACTAATCAATTGTTCGTTCATCTTTTATCTTTTTATAGGCTTCCATCTCCATTTAAGTCAGGGAATAGTAAATGTCCTACCATAACTAATCCATCAACCAAACCATCATCCGGTAGTAAATCAACCAGCAAATCATCAGCCGACAAGCATCTCAACCAACAGAACAACAACCAACAATCAGCTACATTACCAGCAGGTAAGTAAAACAACCGACATGAGGGTCGTAATGGGGGTACCTTCATGACCAATAATGGTATCAAATCTTGCTAAATAAAGTTAACGGTTATTTTTGGTGCATGACGATAAAATGTACATTTTCTGTATGACATGTTATTTTCGACAAATCATGTTAAATTCTTTCCAAAAATAATGGTAACAGATAATTATTCAAGACTTCTGACAAATCATGATAGGGATAGTTTGACAAATCACGATAAAATTTTAACCAATTTGACGCTAACAGTAGACGAAAATGATCGTTTGAAACCTGACGGTAAAGGGCATTCCTACCCTCCAACATCAAGGTTGATTGTAAATTCAAGCAACAGTCAGCTTTAGAAGATCTGTACTAACCTATGTATCATAAAAATCACTAATACCAAAGATAAATTATCAAATTGGAGGGAAAAAATTAAGGGTCATGCACTGTTCATCTTAGCAAGAAATCGGTTATACAAATTATATTCAGAAAAGTTTACAACTTAAAATCTGATATTGCAGCTGACAAAGTGTTAGTCAGTGATTAGCATACAAGGAGATCATGACAGACAAAGCTGTCAACCATCAGTTACCATAAACATTAAGCATACCACCAAAAATCATGACAACAGCTAGCAACAAAAAACAACAAATTCATGACCTAAACAACAACATTACAAAAGTTGCCAACATTCAGCATACAACCAGAATTCCTAACCAACAAACATCAAACAACTAGAAATCATAAGCAACAAACATTTCTACTATGGTAAAACCCAGACATATTCTTTTCAACTTTTAAAAGATGAGACGTTAAAATTAACAATTAGGAATTATAATGTTTAAAAATGGAGCTGTCTTTATTGGATTATCTTTGTACTGTCTATGAATGTCACTTAAAAGCCTCTGTGCATTATGGGTAAATCAGATTATATGAAATGATTGTCAGAGAATCTTTTCCCGTGAGACTTGCATGATTTGAGAATAAATGGAGTTATTTAGGAATTCTTCTAAGAATTCTTATGAAATAATGTTGATTTACCATCTGTCTGCAAATGTTTCTATGATTAAAGATCTTGTTCAATAGAAAGTATTATTGTTTATGAATTCCTTTAGTTATACTACTTGAAACATATTAGATTTGATGACCATTTGATATATAATCCTAAGAACTCACTAAAAGCTTACAAGTTTAATTTTCAAAAAGGTGAAGTTTTCAATTTAAATCTTTGAAGTGTATTAACAAAATTGAAAACGAAGTTGAAAAGTACTTTAGTTTGTAGACGTTGTTGACCCTGATTTGAGGTTAATAATGCAAATTGAAAGAATTTGTTTGCTGTTTATTGACGAAGTCTGTCAAGTGTTTTTCTACATAAGAAACGGAACCAGTCGTGTTGACACAATTGACATTTAAATTGGCATATAAGTAGTTGTAAGAAAAGAAAGCATTTTTCAAGTGCCATAATTAAATCAGTTTCACATAAGGAAAATTTCAATTGACTTTTTGCCTTTAAATGAGACAAATTAAAAGTGTCTCCTATAAGTCCAGAACATTCTGGCTTTAATTATTCCAGATTATAATTTATTTACCTAAAAGTTATGTAAAGGGAGGACAAACATCAGGAGTTCATTGTCAATCTACATTTTGAAATTGACAAGTGCGTAACTTGACATTCGTTTATAATTGATGTGTGTAGTATTGATGTGTTCTTGAATAAATGTTGCAGTCGACACCCTGTTCATGTCACTCAGTGTCAAATTCTCAAATTTTTATCCAAAATTGATTTGAATCATGTTTGGAAACATACATCAAACTTTTTTACCCCACAAATTTAAATGGTATCAAAATGTGTTTTTGTTTCCGTATATAGTTCTTGTTGTTATTAAATTATGAAAAGAAAAGTAGGGGTTCAAGCGGGCAAAATTTTTATTGGCACTAAATGGATAAAACTAGAGGATTGACAACAGAATATATGATGAAAAGTCAAAAATAAGAGTAGCTGACATCCTTAAATACTTTTTTTGTAATTTGGCATACAGGATGCAGGATTTTCAAAAAGAGAGGGGAAGGGGGAAGTTGAAAGCATTACAAAAACAAATAAATGTTAGGTGCCTAGGGGTGAGGAGGCTTTAGCCCTCCCCTAGATCTAGCCTTAATATACTAGTTACTGCTTTCCAATATAAAAATAATATTATAAAAAAGGCAGTAGCAGTACTAAAAAAGTTTTAAGCTAGAATTAAACTTGCCTCAGGCTTTCTATTAAAAAAATAATAAAACAAACAAAAAAACATCATACATCATCGCCCTTTTTGTTAGAATAAATTATCAAGGCTGAATGGTTAATCAATACGTACATACCTTACTGACCCAATGAGATATACATGTATTGGAAATAGATTTGACCACTTAATAAGTATTCAACATAAAACCATCATAAATAGGGAAAAATAGAACTGGATAAATATCCAATAGTCCATCAATGTCTGCTTAGTGTAAAATTTGATACCAGGTTAATTGTGTATCTATCAAGATTTGTGTCAACCTAATATTTACTTTTGACACTTTGATGAACATTTTCAGCCTGCAGCTCTTTGGAACCTTGAGGTGTGATAAGTTTGAACAGGTAGTAAATATACATGGAAAGTCCTTAGTTAAATCTCATTTCACTTTATTATCAGCTGATCAAAATTAATCGAAAGGTAAAAATAATGATAAAACCTTTAAACAAGAGAGATTTGGTGCCCACCTGGACATGAAGACGTAAGTGTTGTTGTATATAGCTGAAAATAGATCGAAGATATAGTAGTATGAAATTTAATCAATTAAACCAATTTTTCTTTGTATTGAGTGTTTTCAGATGAAGTTATAATTACTTATCGGAGGTTTATTTTTACTTAAAGATTTTTTGCACTGCCTGCATAAAGGTATATTGAGTTTGATTTTTATGGCGAAAAATTGATCTGTGAGTTTTTGTCTTTCACAGCTGTGGCATTTTTACCTTGTTTGTATATATAGGAAAGTGATATGAAATTTTTCATTTTTCTTCGGATGAAATATACAGGATTACTGGTTACAAAATTGAGCAATTTGTTTTATGAATGTGTGAAAAAAAGATAGAAAGACAATCGTTTCTATATGCTTATAAAAAGGCTAGTGTAAACACTTTATTGTGGAACATTTAATACTAACAATGGTGCTGGTGGATTAACAAGTTTTTCTCACATACAGACAAATAAAGGCCTGTTTGTTCAGTAAATAGACTGTACTGATTCTCTTCTGTCAACAAAGAGAATTGATTAATGATTTTGAGATCTATATCTCTAAAAGTATCCTAGCCATTTTATGCAGTTGGTTTAATTATATTTTATTTCACAAACAAATACTTTGATTTTAATGCCTGCAGTTTTTGTTTTGACGAACTGATTGGAATCTTAATAGCAGATCTGAAAATAGTGTTTTTTCACAAACAGCTGATGTTGTATGAACGATATTGATTTTTTTTCTCGGTACATTTAAAGTGATGTGGTTCTTTGTATGCCCAATAAAGACGTGGATGTAATTATTGACAATTAAGGCTAATATTATACACTCGATTTGGACCTTTTTCAAAGAACGTGAGTAGCTAATATTACATTCGTGTTATTATATTTATAAAGCAATGATATTTTATATATGATGGACATCAAATAGTAAGGAAACAAAGGGGGGAGGGGAGGGGAGATAACTGGACATACACTATTAACCCAAACAAAGAGAGAGGTTTTGAGAGAAATTAACATGAAATAACAGGCATAGTTGAAATAATATAAGCATGATGATGTATACATAAATATCTAAGGGTTCCCTGTTCTCAGTTCAAATGTCAGCTCTTTAACAAGTAAAGGAGCTTAACTTATTTTGCTGATACTGGCGTTGAAAGGTATAGTAAATATAAAAGTTTTCCCACTTAAGACAAGATTTTTAAAAATTTCATTTGTAAATAATCCTTGGTTATTATCAGTATTTTATATTTGATATTATATGATAACCATCTTGTAAGCACTGTCGAGGTAACTTTGGGATTTTCCCAAAAATTTAAACGAAGTTTTCTTTTTTTTCTGGCACATTTCAAGGCACAAAATCCCAGCACACTTAATGGACAAAACCGAAAGCAATGAAACATACTTTATTGCTGTATTTCACATGAGAGTCATATGGTCAGGCTTTCAATGCAGAGCAAAGGCTGACACCTTACTGCAAGTACAAGATGCCCCTAGCTTTGATTTATATTCCTCCACAATGACTTCGCTTGTTTTTGGCATGTTTGGTTATTTTGTATTTTATGTAATCAAAATCTCCTTACAGCAAATATATTTGGATATAAATAATCGTACATAGGAAGTACATGGTATAAAATGCATTATTTTTGGACAGGTAGATCAGTACACCTATAGTTTTACCTATAACAGGTAAATATATCAGGAAACAATTAGGAAGGATTGGGGATCACTTCAGGTGAAAATGACAGCATTATAATTATATGGTTTAGTTCCATTGATGTCATTCAGTGTATAAAAGTGGTTATTATTTAGCTGAAATAAATACCCCATGTTTATTTTGACAATTTAAAGATCAGGTACTCACTGATTTCAATTGTGATAAAGACCACTTTTTTGGTTAAGACATAGAAATTACTCAGATATACATGTAGGTTTTTTCTCTGTGGTTGAACCTGGGAACAGTATATCTAACAATATATATGTTCCTGGTTGTACAGATTGTAGGGAGAAAAGTGTAGTAAAAGTGGATTTTTTTTCTTGAAAATTGTGGCATTGAATGAAATATTTTCTAAAGATTGTGAATAGAAGTTAGAATATTACAATAATTCTGTGGAATATTTGTTTTAGTGGAAAAACACTTGTGTAATATTTTTTATTAGTGAGTATTGAAATTTCAGTGGAATAAAATATATTACAAACCCTTGTTTGTAAGGTGAAGCTATAGAAATTCTAAAAAAA